AAAAAAAAAAAAAAAAAAAAAGACTTCTACAGACTTTTAGATTTCTTCTAAAGAAATCTAGTTAATGGGCTCGTTCCTAACCTGTCCATCCCAGCCCCTCTCTGTTCTTTTTTCTTTTATGCCTAATAGGGAAATAAATACAAAAGTGAGATTTAAGTTGATAAAGAAACTTCAGGAACACTGCCACTAAACAAACAGACTTCAAAAGTCAGGTGGAGAGGCTCTGGGGAAAGGGAAAGAGAGGGGGTGGGATCTCTGAGGAGGAGGAGGGCAGGGTGGGTAAGAGGAGAGGAGGGAAAGGCCTGAGGAGAGAGCACACCCTCCTTCTCCCCTACTCCAAAGGATCTGCTCTTTGCCATCAGTGGCACCACTAGAATCAGGTCTGTTCCAGCACTGGAAATGGTCTGAAACAGAGAGCAGTGGTAATGGTAAAGGGTTATCACCAGGCCCGGTGCAATGGCTCACACCTATAATCCTGGCATCTGGGGAGGCTGAGGTGTGAGACTCCCTGAGGGCCAGGAGTTCAAGACCAGTTTGAGCAACATAGTAAGATCCTGTCTGTACCAAAAATAGGGGAAAACATATAACTGAGTGTGGTGGAGCATACCTAAAGTCCCAGCTACTAGAAAGGCTGATGCAGGAGGATCACCTGAGACCAGGATTTTGAGGTTGCAGTGAGCTATGATTGAGAGAGGATACGGGAGAAAGGCGAGGTCTAGGACAACAGGTCTTCTCAAGGAGACCAAAGGATCCTCTCCATGGTGACTCAGCTCTTGGGAATTTGTAAACTTAAATTTCTGGAACTTGGAAATGTACAAGTTCTGTGAAATCCTGTATTCTGTAGGGGCTGGAATAGCATCTCCCGCTTGATTCAAACTGGCCAATGAGAAGGGGACCTGTGGGGTGGAACTTTTTGACTGTCCATAAAAAGAGAAAGACCAAGCCAGTTGGGTAGCAAGGCCATTTGGAATTCTTCTATGCCATAGGTCCCGGCCGGTAAATAAAGCCCTTTCTCTTATAAACGTGGTGTTTGGGTGCTCTTTCTCTCCCTTGGGCCTCGTCTTCCTGCAACATGATAATGCCACTGTACTCTTGCTGGGGTAACAGAGCAAGACCCATTCTAAAAAACAAATGTTGAGGAAGGACTAGGATCTATAGCAAGGTAGGAACAGGTGATGTGTAACAGATGGAGAATTTTAGCAACAATAGCTAAGAGGAAGGGAGCCAGAGAGGAACCTGAATGATTCTTTAAAATTATATAAAATTCTTATGCTATGCGAAAGTGTTCTAAAGATCTATGAAACTCAAATGCTCCCCAAGTCCTTTTACAATGCTAGTGTAACTGATACTAAAACCGATAGACATAGCAAAAGCAGAGGAGAAAGGAGGAACATAAAAACCACGGTTGAACCACTTTTAAGTGTACAGTTTAGTCGTGTTAAGTGATTCATGCAGTTGTGCAACTGATCTCCAGAACACTTTTCATCTTACAAAATTGAAATTCTGCACCCATTCAACACCAATGCCCCCCATCACCGTCCCTCTAATCCCTGATGACCACCACACTACTTTCTCTATGAATTTGATTATGCTAAGTACCTCAGTAATTAGAGTCACACAGCATTTGTCTTTTGGTGACTGGCTTATTCAGTACCATGTCCTCGAGGTTTATCTGTGTTGTAGCATGTGTCAGAATTTTTTTCTTTTTTAAAGCTGAATGGTATTCTGTTGTATGTATTTGTCTACTCTCTCATCCGGTAATAAATGTTTGGGTATCTTCCACCTTTTGGCTATCGTGAATAATGCTGCTATTAACACGAGCATATATCCAAAAGTAGAATTGCTAGATCAAATAGTAATTCTATTTTTAGGTTTTTGAGAGACCACCATACTGCTTCTCATAGGGACTGTACCATTTCACAATTCAACAGGGCACAAGGGTTCTAGTTTCTCCACATCCTCTCCAACACTTATTATTTTCTTTTTGTTGAAATAGTAGTCATCCTGGCACCTGTCTGCCAGCCACGTGCACCAAGGGTGATGGGTTTGAACCCGGCCCTGGCCTGCTAAACAATGACAACTGCAACAACAACAACAACAAAAATAGAGGGCATTGTGGCAGGCGCCTGTCGTCCCAGCTACTTGGGAGGCTGAGGCAAGAGAATCTCTTAAGCCCAAGAATTTGAGGTTGCTATGAGCTGTGACGCCACGGCACTCTACCGAGGGTGACATAGTGGAACTCTGGGGAGAAAAAGTAATAGTAGTCATCCTAATGGGTGTGTGGTTATTTTAATACGAACGCTTCACAAATTTGTGTGTCACCCATAGGAGCAGTGCTAATCTTCTCTGTATCTTCCCAATGTTAGCATATGTGCTGCTGAAGAGAGCATGGTGTGTGGCTATTTTTAAAGTACAAATGTTTATTTCATGTGGAAATTAGAGATATAGAAAACATAAAAATGAACATAAAACCAAAAATGTTTTTAAACATTTTTAAGTGCCACATTTTAAAATAAAAAAAGCAAAAGGCTGCTATGTAAATACAAAAGAGCCCTTGTTAAAAAAAAAAAATACAAACACTTTAATAGACAAGCAGGCAAAGGACAGGCACAGGAAGATTGCAAGAGATAAAACAGAAGTAGCTAATAAACATATAAAAGGCTGGGTGCTGGGTGATGGGGACACAGGAATGGGATTCTGTCTACCTCTCTGATGATCTCAGATGTCCTGAGGGCGAAGGAGTCTCATGCTCCTCCCATAGCAGACAGGTGTCAAGGGCACTTCTTCAGGGACTGTAACTCCAATTGGTTGATCTGTTTAATATAAGAATGGTGGCTGGACAGCCAGAGAAAACATTTTCTTCCCCAAACCAAAAACAATGACATATTGGGAATGCTCCATGGAAGACATGGAAAAGAATGGAGTCCTTAAAAATTTCTGCAAACATGCATGAATACAGTCACATCAGTTACCTACTCAAACTTCACTTCTTAGTGTCTCAGTAATAGAATCTGATTTATTGGAGATAATCGTATACCATCTAGAAAATTAGATGGAAAATTTTCCAGCTTTCCTTGCAGCGAAGGGTGACCATGAGACAGTGTTGACCACTGAGATGCAGGTAGAAGTAGCTGGGACCTCTTTTAGGAGGAAGCAGACCTAGACTCCACCTCATTTGGTACTCTTGGAGGCATATGAAGACATACTCTTTGTGGCACACAGAATATGCAGGCTTTCTCTGTGCCTCAACCCTCCCCAGAGCACTGAGCCATTTGGGATGATGCTTTACAACAGACAGCAACCACAATCTGTTACACCCAACTGCTTCCAACAAGGAGATATTGTGAAACAGTGGCCATGGGGAGCCTCGGGCTCTGTGTAAAGGACTCTTCTCCAGAGCTTCTCATAACCAGATCGATAATCCTGTTCTGATCAAAAATCTTCAGTGACTCTCAGTGAATATTCTTTATTATTTCAGTAACACTACTTAACATCAGGAAAACAGATAATGCAAATCTGTAATAAACTTTTCATCTGACAGCATGTATGCTGCCTTAGTTTTCATAAAATTTTTATGTAGGCCTGCCTTTTAAAAAAGTTTATTTCAGATTAATATGAAGGTACAAAAATTAGATTATAATATTCGCATTTGTTAGGCAAGGTCTCTGTTGTAGTTGTGCCCCCTACCTTGTGCCCATTAGGTGGGAGCACACGGATCCTCCTCTTTCCTGCCCTCTGCTCCTCTTTCAACCCCCTCCCCTTAACTTGAATTGAACTGAGTTTTTCTCCTGTGTCGGGGTGTATTAGCTCATCTACTATAGGCCTGTCTTTTTCTAACTATGCTGCGTACTCCTGAAGGGCAGGGACCATTTCCATTTCTTCTCTCAACACTTAGATCCAGTGAGTGCTCTTAAGTACTGATGGACTGCTGGTGAAAAATCATTTCCATAACTTCCATCATTTTGATTCCTAACTTGGAATTTAAAATAACATCTTATGGAACATTATAATAAACAAAATGCTTTTCAAAATCTGGAAAATTCCAAACTACACAAAAGTAGAGAGAAGAGGATAACAAATTCTTATGAACCAAACCAATTGCTCAACTTTAACGGTCATCAACACCTCCCTTTCGTTTCACTAGAGCGTCTGAAAGTGACAGCCTATTATTTTACATAGACATACTTCAGAGTATTTCTCTCAAGGACAAGGACTTTTAAAATACATCTACAATAATCACACTCCATAATAATAATTTCTTACTATCTTTTAATATTTAGCTCATGTTTAGTTTTATCTAGTTGTTACAAAAATGTCCATTTACGATTGGATCTATTCCAATCAGGATCCAAATGACATTTGGTTAGTATATATTAAGTCTTTTTTCATCTACAAAAGTTCCCTTCTCTGTTTCTTCTTTTAAATGCCATTTATTTAAGAAACATTTGTCCTATAGAATTTCCTACATTCAGGATTTGGCTGATTGTATCATCTTAGTGTCTTTATTTAAGACAAAGTCCCAAACTGTTGCCCTGGGTAGAGTGCCGTGGTGTCACAGCTCACAGCAACCTCAAACTCTTGGGCTTAAGTGATTCTCTTGCCTCCGCCTCCCAAGTAGCTGGGACTACAGGCGCCCGCCATAACACCCAGCTTTTTTTTTTTTTTTTTTTTGCAGTTGTCATCGTTTTTTTAGTTGTCCTGGGCGGGGTTCAAGCCCACCAACTCTACTGGCGCCACCTGTGTCTTCTAACTCTTTCCTCTATCCACTGTATTTCCTATAACTGGTAGTTCAGATATAGAGGATTGATTAGATTTAAGCTTTAAGAAATTTTTTTTGGCAAGAATACTTCGTAGTATTAGAGCACATTAAGAGAAACAATATCTGGTTATTTTACTTTGAGTGACATTAAAGATTGATTCAAGGGTTCAGGTGGTGTTAGTCTAAGTCATTCACTATAAACTTCCCCATCAACATTTCACCTAATTGTTTTAGCAACCAGTGATGATGATTATTGGCTAGAGTGATTATTTCAGTAGGAATGGCAAAACTATTCTTTTATAATTTGATATTCATTTTCATGAAATTATGTACATCTTTTTTTTTGAGACAAGAGTCTCACTTATTAACCCTCAGTAGAGTGCTGTGTTGTCACAGCTCATAGCAACTCCAACTCCTTGGGCTTAAGCGATTCTCATGTCTCAGCCTCCCGAGTAGCTGGGACTACAGGCACCCAATGCAACACCCGGCTATTTTTTTGTTGCAGTTTGACCGGGGCTGGGTTTGAACCCGCCACCCTTGGTATATGGGGCCAGTGCCTTACCCACTGAGCCACAGGCACTGCCTGAAATTATGTACATCTTAAACACACAATGAAAATTCAAATTCCTTCACAGAGCCTTTCCCTGTTTGCAAATGGCAGGACTGTCATCACCCAGCATCTATCATCTGCTGCTCTCTAGCTTCATTTCATCGACCAATCTGTAAGCTCCAGGAGTTCCCAGCTCTACGCTAGGCAACAGGACTCTGATCACAGCCTGTGCGCAACACATATGTAAAATACTTTGATTTGGTGAGTGTTCCAATTAAAAGCCACTTATGCATACAAACACACGCAGCTAGATTCTGAAATGAGATACACACACATATACATGCAATACAACAAATTTATTATATTACACAGAGAAAAACAAACCCACACTTTGACAACATTCACAGAGTTTTCCAGTCTTTAAAAAGTTAACAGAAATAAGGGATAATTGAGAGAATATAGCTCATAATTTTATAATTTATCTAAGAACATAGTACACTCAAAGATTCTATTTAATAAGAATTAAGACTGTAAAATGGCAATGTCCCATAGATATTTAAAAATCTATATTTGTATTTATTTACATTATAGATACAGATCCTCAAGGATTCATAGAGCTTTGTGTAATAAACTAGATTTTATAACTGGGCTTTTTGTTAGGTAAGCAAATCTTTAGGCAATAAAGTCCTGAAAAGTGAGATGAAACCTCAGTAGAAACTCTGAGACCACACAGAATCCTTTTAATAAAATATTGCCCATACAAATTCTATATCCAGTGACATTCACTTTGATCTACTGAGGTTTATATGGAGGATACTCCTGCTAGCTGTGATTTTTTTTTTTTTTGGTAGTATTCTACCTCTCCACTTCTGTTCATATAATTGAGAGGGTGGTTTTATCAAATGTTAGTTCAGAGGCAAGTCAAACATTTTAAAGACTACAGGAAAGTTAAGGAGGTTGTATGATGCAGATCAGAAAGCATATAAGAAATAAATCAGGCTCTCCGGTTTTATCTTTTATTTTTACCTCCTTCCTTTTGGTCTTTACCCCATTTGTAATTTTTTGAAAATTATGTTATGCTGCTGGGCGCAGTGGCTCACACCGGTAATTCTAGCACTCTGGTAGGCCGAGTTGGGTGGGTCTCCTGAGCTCAGGAGTTCGAGACCAGCCTGAGCCAGCGTGAGACCCCATCGCTAAAAAAAGCCCAGCGTTGTGGTGGGCCCTTGGAGTCCCTGCTACTTGAGAGGCTGAAGCAAGGGGATCACTTGAGCCCAAGAGTTTAAGGTTGCTGTGAGCTAGACAGCACTCTACCGAGGGCAACAAAGTGAGACTTTGTCTCAAAAAAAAAAAAAGAGAGAAAGACAATTATGTGCATGTATAATAGTATAATAGCACCTACCACAGGTTCTCATTTTAGCACAGGGTGGATATGAAGATGTAAAACTGAAAAACATTTAAGGAATTCTGAGATCTTTACAGTGAAATAAATTAGAGGAGCTGTTTCTTTCAGCTCTGCTCTCTTGTTCTTTATTCTTCACTAAAAACCATGAAATTCTCTCACTTATCCTCCCTTGTCTTCTCATACTGGAAGCAAGTGAAATCACAAAAGGTCACTTAAAGGCAAATACATGTACATAAATCTGGTCACGGTGAGGATAAAAGGCCATGATATCGAGTAAGACTTAGGTTTTGCTGTACAATAAATATCCCTGCGTGTTACACAATAGCGGGGGGCTGTAAGTACTAATTGTTTAAAGTCTTACAAACATAAGCAGTCTTTTAAATTTGCATAGAAATAAAACAAGAAAAAAAAACTATAGAGAAAAATTCACAAATGTCCAAATATTATTTTTTCCTGGACAAAACTCTATTGACCAGTAGTTTTGCCAACAGAGTAGTTTTCTGACAAGAAAATATTAAGAACAAGAGAATTTTAGAAACTAGGAATTTTAAAGAAACAAAACCTATATTGAGTTCAGTCCTTCATTATATAAGGTATATAGGTCTGAAAAAAAGAAATCCAGGTTGTTAATTAATTTACAATTCCAGAAAATACTTTTTCATGCAATGTATCTACAACA